GTCTCCCACATCTCCCGCACCTCATCCCTCACACCCCGTCCACGCAATAAGAACCAAAAAAAGAATCCCCCTCGTCCTCACGTACCACCCCACCAACCTCCGGATCCAACGCATCATCCTCCGACACTTCCGCCATCTGCAATCTGACCCCACCACCAAAGACATCTTTCCCTCCCCACCCTTATCTGCTTTCCGGAGGGACAACTCTCTCCGTGACTCCCTTGTCCGCTCCACACTCCCCTCCAGCTCCACCACACCCGGCACTTTTCCCTGCAACCGCAGGAAGTGCTACACCTGCCCCCATACCTCCTCCCTCACCCCCATCCCAGGCCCCAAGAAGACTTTCCACATCAAGCAGATGTTCACCTGCACATCTGCCAATGTGGTATACTGCATCCGCTGTACCCGGTGTGGCTACCTCTACATCGGGGAAACCAAGCGGAGACTCGGGGACCGCTTTGCAGAACACCTCCGCTCGGTTCGCAACAAACAACTGCACCTCCCAGTCGCGAACCATTTCAACTGCCCCTCCCATTCCACAGACGACATGTCCATCCTGGGCCTCCTGCAGTGCCACAACGATGCCACCCGAAGGTTGCAGGAACAGCAACTGATATTCCGCTTGGGAACCCTGCAGCCCAATGGCATCAATGTGGATTTCACAAGTTTCAAAATCTCCCCTCCCCCTACCGCATCCCAAAACCAGTCCAGCTCGTCCCTGCCTCCCTAACCTGTTCTTCCTCCCACCTATCCCCTCCTCCCACCTCAAGCCGCACCTCCATCTCCTACCGACCAACCTCATCCCGCCCCCTTGACCTGTCCGTCCTCCCTGGACTGACCTATCCCCTTCCTAACTCCCTACCTACACTCACCTTTCCTGGCTCCATCCCCGCCTCTTCGACCTGTTTGTTTCCTCTCCACCTATCCTCTCCTCTATCCCTCTTCTATCCGCCTCCCACTCTCTCCCTATTTATTTCAAAACCCCCTTCCCCTCCCCCTTTTCTGATGAAGGGTCTAGGCCCGAAACGTCAGCCTCTCTGCTCCTATGATGCTGCTTGGCCTGCTGTGTTCATCCAGCCCTGCACCTTGTTGTCTGGGTATATATGCACATCAGTCATTAAAGGCAAAACTGATATGAAGAACTGTTAATAAAGCTTTCAATATTTTCTAGGCTTCGTTATAGGACATGGAACACCTGAGCAGGGAGACTGAACTTGAGCAATGAACTTTTATGTGACCTGGTTAGACCTCAGCTGGAGTGCTGCGTCTGGGTTTCACACGATGAGTGTGCAGAAGAGGCTTTCAAGAATAGTTCCAGAGATGAAAAACTTGATTTACAAGGACAGGTTGGAGAAGTTAGGATTGTTTTTCTGAGAGAAGGCTTGAGGAACATTTGATAGAACTTTTCAATGTCTTGAAGGGTGTGGACAGAGCAGATAGAAAGATTGAAAAATTGTTCCTGCTCAAATGGATCAAGAAGCAGAGGGCACAGTTTTAAAAGTGCTTGCTGGAAAAGCAAACGGAAGCAAGAAAATCTTTTTGTCAAAGCAAGTACCGGTCTGTTAGGGCCTAGATTGCATCACTTGGAAGTGTGGTGGAAACCCATTCAATGGAGGTATTGGGTGATCATTTAAATCGAAATAATGTGTGGGGTTACAGGGAAAAAGCAGGAGATTAGCACCATGTTAAGATGCTTAGGGAGAGGTGCGGACATGAGAGACGGAGTAGGCTCCTTCTGAAGGTTAACAATTCTGTGAAACTCAGGTTAGGTTCATTAACAGATCAGTAGTGTAATTACCCAAGTGTTATAACTAGATTTTAATCTGTCCAACATTCCTTGGGCAACTTGACTTAATGATTGTTTTATTGATTTATTTATTGTCACATGTACCGAAACACGGTGAAAAGCTTTGTTTACGAGCAGTACAGACAGATCGTAGTAAGCAAGGACGTACAGATCAAAAAAGATTTAGACAGAGGCATACAGATTACATTGCACAGGGCATGTGCAAGGCGAGATCAATGCTAGCAAGATCAGTGTTATTTGAGGCTAGAGAGTCCACTGTTGTGGAATGTTCTGAACCTGAACTACTTCCAAATCTAACTCTGACTCAGAGGTATTCACGTAGGATCACAGGGAGCAGGGGAATTGCCGATTAGAAGTTTAAATATACTGGGCTGTTCCTATGTTGGTCCACGCTTCTACAAGTCCACAGGGTCCAGATTTGATTTGATCAAATCTTGATTTTATTACTGTCACGTGTACCGAGGTACAATGAAAAGCGCATCGGGGGAACACAACACAGAGCAGAATACAGTATTATAGCTGCCAAGAAGGTGCAGAGAGAGATCAACATTAACACTTAAGAGTCCATTCAAAAGTCTGATAACAGCAGGGAAGAAGCTGTTCTTGAATTTGGTTGTGCATGTATTCAAATTTTCATATCTTCTGCAAGATAGAAGGGTGGGAGAGGTCTTTGATTATGTTGGTTGTTTTTCCAATGCAGTGGGAAGTGTAGGTGAAGTCAATCCACAGCAAAGTTTCCCCTCACCAAAGCTCCAGAGACTGGATGATTTGGCCCTGTGCTCCAAACTTGAAAAGGAATGCATTGTTACTGAAGAGAGAGACATGCTGCCAATGTTTTCCATTTTGCACTCACCAAGAGAATGCCTAATTTCAAATGATCACATCAACTTAACCTAGTGATGTCAAAGTGAACAAAGTGATGTCAAAGGACTGGAGAAACAACTTTCGAAAAAGCAACAGGGAACTTAGTTAATTTTTAACTTCCAGCTAGTTTTAAAAAAGTGCAAGCATTGAACATACTCATTTTGTTTACAGAGAACAGGTCCCTGCATATGAATATGTGTCATTTCTTGCAAGCAAAAAAAGGTAAAAATTAATTATGCATTGCTATTAAAAGGAAAAGGCATCTAATTTTTTTTTAAATTTATTCATTTTGTGGAATGTGGGCATAGCTGGCTGGCCATTATTTATTATCCATCACTACTTGCCCTGGGAGGTGGTGGTGGGGAGCGGCCTTCTTGAATCATTGCAGTCCACATGCTGTGGAGTGACCCACAATGCCATCAGGGAGGGAATTCCAAGATTTTTACCCAGCGACAGAGAAGGAACAGCAATATATTTCCAAGTTAGTACAGTGAGTGGCTTGGAGGGGAACTTGAAGGTGGTGGTGTTCTCATATATCTACTGCCCTTGTCCGTCCAGCTGGAAGTGGGCATGGGTTTGGAAAGTTCTGTCCAAGGATCTTTGGTGAATTTCTGCAGTGCATCTTGTAGATAGTACACACTGCTGCTACTGAGCATCAGTAGTGAGGGATTGGACGCTTGTGGATATAGTGGCAATCAAGCGGGCTGCTTTGTCCTGGACGGGGTCAAGCTTCTCAAATGTTGTTGGGGCTGCACTCATCCAGGCAAGTGGGGAGTCTTCCATTACACTTCTGACTTGTGACTTTCAGATGGTGGACAGGCAGGTGTCAGGAAGTGAGTTACTCACCGCAGTATTCTTAGCCTCTGACTTGCTGTTGTATCCGCTGTATCTACTGAGTTTCTGATCAAAGATAAGCCCCGGGATGTTGATAATGGAGGAGTCAATGACAGTAATACCATTGAATGTCAAGGGGCTGTGGTTACATGGTTTCTTACTGGTGATGGTCATAGCCTGGCATTTGTGTGGTGCAAATGTTACTTGCCACTTGTCAGCCCAAGCCTGGATATTGTCCAGATGTTGTTGCATTTAGACATGGACAGCTTTAGTGTCTGACTAGTCACAAATGATGCTGAACATTGTTCCACTATCAGCAAATACCCCCACTTTTGTTGTTGATTGAGGGAAAGTTATTGATGAAGCAACTGAGGGTAGTTAGGCCTAGGACACAATCCTGAGGAACACCTGCAAAGTTGTCCTGGAGCCGAGATGGCTGACCTCCAACAACCATGACCATCTTCCTACGTACCAGGTATGGCTCCAACCAGCTGAGAGTTTGCCCTCATTGGTTCCATTTTTGCTAGGGCTCCTTGATGACACTTGGTCGAATGCAGCCTTGATGTCAAGGGCTGTCACTCTCTCCTCACCGCTGGAATTCAACCCTTTAGTCCATATTTGAACTAAGGCTATAAAATGAGGTCAGGAGCTGAGTGGCCCTGGTAGAACCCAAACTGGGAGTCACTGAGCAGGTTATTGCTGAGCAGCTGCTGCTTGATAGCACTGTTCATGACACCTTCCCTCACTTTACTGATGATGGATAGTAGACCGATAGGACGATAATTGGCCGGGTTGGATCGGTGCTGTTTTTTATGTACAAGACATTGTCATATAGATGCAGTGTTGTAACTGTACTGGAACAGCTTGGCTAGGGGAGCAGAGAGTCCTGGAGCACAAGTCTTCAATACTATTGCCAGGGTGTTGTCAGGGCCCACAGCCTTTGCAGTATCCAGTGCCTCCAACTGTTTCTTGATATCACGTGGAGTGAATCAAATTGGCTGAAGACTGGTATATGTAATGCTGGGAACCACTTGGCACTTCTGGCTGAAGATTGCTGTGAAAGCTTCACAGCCTGGTCTTTCCCAGCAATGATCCAGAAATGAATAACTTCACAATGGCAGTGTTCCATGAAAAATAAATAAAAATCCTCCAAACTTTGATCTTAATTTTGGAGGTGGTGTAAAAGAAGCAGCAAGAAACAAACACTATTTTGTTGGAAGAAATCCGATCAAGCCATGCACCTTACCTTCAAGGCAAATTAAAACTTTTTTTGAGACTAGCCTCAGAAATCTGAGATGATTCACTGGAAAACTTTAGTTGCACCATTTATTATTCAGCAGAGCATTTTATGGTTAAGAAAACATACTTACCTATCAATCCATAAGACAGGAACTTATTTACCGATGTAAGTGCTAATCCTGTGATCGGTCCAGTAGTATCTTCTGATCTGATCACCTCCAGGAAAGGTCGAAGGAAAACGTTTGGTTCTATTTCTGAGAGGTCTGCAGAAAAAAAAAGGAAATCAAATTTAATATTATGTTTTTGTCATCAAGTTGCAGACAGCACTAATTGGAAGCACTCCTGTATTGGAATAAATATCTAAATACACTTTTGGACATGTACAGTGCTCATTCAGTTTCTCTTCAGTTCTACTTTAGGACTGAGTCTTCAATACCAGATCTTAAGTACCCATCACATGACCTTTGCGTTAATTCTTCTTCTGATGAAACTTCTGAAGTGAAGTGATTTGCACTAGTGCTATAACCATACCCAGTACCACAACTTAAAAATATCTCAAAAGGCTGCACCAAAAAAAAAAACAATGGTTAACACATGGGCATTAACAGCAAGCATGCTTTATCCACCAAGATGCCACAAACATCAATGAAATAAATCACTTAAAGTGATTTCAAATATGATAAAGGGGAACCATAAGCTAGGAAACTGGCAGGATGCCTCGCTATTGAATTTGTACCAGCAGATCATTCGTATGCACTGAACCACAGAAAGGGTCTCCAATTCAAAGCTCGTTTGAAGAACAGCAACTTCGAAACTGTTGAATGCAAATTCATTAATACATTCAGGTCAACAACAACAGGCTGCATCTGGGTACAAGACCATTACAAATATACTGAGCCACAACTGAGGATATTTGGACAGAAAACCAAAAGTTTGGTCAAAGTGGCAGGATTCAAGGAGAATCCAGGAAAAGGATATGGAAGATAGTGAGATTCGTGTGGAGCATGATAGTACGCTAGACCATTTTGAGATTAAGAAAGAAGTGGTGTTGGATCTCTTGAAGAGTATTAAGGTGGATAAGGCCCCACGGCCCAATGGTATCTAGCCCAGGTTATTATAAGGTAGGAGATTGCTGGGGCCTTGACCAAGATCTTTATATCCTCGCTAGCCACTGGAGAGGTCCAGAGGGCTGGCGAATAGCTAATGGTGTTCCTCTATTCAAGAAGGGAAGTCGGGACAATCCAGGAAGCTACAGACCGATGAGCCTCACATCAGTAGATGGGAAGCTACCGGAGAAAATTCTTAGGGACAGGATTTATACACATTTGGAAAAGTATGGCCTAAATTAGGGGCTTTGTGCAAGGCAGGTCATGACTTATGAACTTGATTGAATTTTGAGGTGGTGATGAATGTGATCGATGAGGGTAGAGCAGCGGATATTGTTTCCATGGATTTTATTAAAGCTTTCGACAAGGTCCCTCATGGTAGGCTCATTCAGAATATTAAGATGCATGGGATCCATGGTGACTTGGCCGCATGGATTCTGAATTGGTTTGCCTGTAGAAGACAGAGGGTGATGGTGGACATTTTTCAGGCTGGAGATCAATTGACCAGTGGTATTCCGCAGGGATCCGTACTGGGACCTCTGCTATCTGTGATATATGTAAATGACTTGAATGAAAATGTAGACGGGTGGGTTAGTAAGTTTGCAGACGATCGAAGGATCGGTGGAGTTGTGGACAGTGTAAAAGGTTGTCAAAGGATTCAGCAGGATATAGATCAGTTGTAGATACGGGCAGAGAAATGGCAGATGAAGCTTAATCCAGGTAAGTGTGAGGTGCTGCATTTTGGGAGATCAAATGTTGAGGAAAAGTTTAGTTATTTGCAGGATGCTGAACAGCACTGATGTATAGAAGGATCTTGGGGTTCAAGTCCATAACTCCCTGAAAGTGGCCATGCAAGTAGATAGGGTGGTAACAGCAGCATACGGCATGCTTGCCTTTACTTGTCGGGGAACTGAGTACAGAGTCGGGATGTCATGTTGCAGCTTTACAAGACTTTGGTTAGGCCACACAGTATTGTATACAATTCTGGTTGCCACTTTACAGGAAGGATGTGGAGGCTTTGGAGAGGGTGCAGAAGAGGTTTACCAGGATGCTGCCTGGATTACAGGGTATGAATTGTAAGGAAAGGCTACAAAAACTCAGGTTGTTTTCTCTTGAGCAATGGAGGCTGAGCGGAGACTTGATAGAAGTCTATTAAAATTATGAGATTGACGGACAGAATCTTTTTGCCACAGTTGAAATGTTGAATACATGCATTTAAGATGAGAGGGGGGAAATGTTCAAAGGAGATGTGAGAGGCAATTTTTTTTTTAAAACACAGAGTGGTTGGAGTCTGGAACACACTGCCAGAGGTGTGGTGGAGGCAGATACGATAAGGGCATTTAAGGGATTTTTAATAAGCACATGAATCTGCAAGGAATGGAGGGATATGGACCAAAGACAGGCAAAAATGATTAGTTTCATTTGGTGTCACATTTGGCTGAAGGGCCCGTTCCTGCGCTGTACAGTTCAATGTCTTTCATGAGGAAAGCATGATTGGGAGAATAGAAAATTAGCCATGCAATTTCAGACAGCTCAGTGATGAAATGATTTTCTTTCCTGAGGGTCATGAATCTTCGGAACTCTGTTCTTCAAAAGGTGATAGAAGCAGAGTCTTTGAATATTTTCAGGCACAGGTAGAGAATGTGGAGTAATCACATTAGCGATGATCTTAAGGAGCAGGCTTGAGGCTGATGTTTACAATGTAAATGTTAACTATTTAAAGAAACAGAATCTTGAAAACGGTGGTTGATTCAAAACGAATGATTTTTACATAAACTCGAAAAGTAAGTACAGTATATGCACCTGTTAAACAAGAAAAAGCTAATCTACAAGAAGTCATTTGCATCAAAAAAATTTAAGTGGGTATACCTTTCCTCCCATTGTGTTTTTAATGTAGAGAACATAATAGGTTGTCTTTAAAAAAAATTTCAATTTTATTGAATTCTCGCAATCTTGCAGTGTAAACGAGCTTTATTTTCCCCAGAGAGGTTACTGGCATTTACATTTGGAAACGTCAGCAATCATGGGGTTTGAACTTTGCCGCAGTGAACGTCCCTGCCCCAGCAGAGTACGAGTGAATAACAGATGTGCTCTGGTCCATTAATTTGTGTGGCATTTAAAGCAGTTACATACCATCAGCAGTGATTTGCTGTCTAGACCGCACCTGAACAATCTGTCAGTAAACAGTCACATTCAAACTTGACTCAAAATTACATGTGATTCTCACTAATACTTTCAAGATGCAACAATGGCATCAGAATTCAGTTAAAACTATCTGTTTACACCTTATATACGTTACGACAATAACAATTACATCATTAGGCGACATGGAGGTAGAAGGAGGCAGACATTCTAAAACAGTTTGCAAAACGATGTCCACTGGCACAATACAGCAGGCCTTGGAGCTTCAGAAAAGACTGAAGTCAGAGACAAAATACAGCAGATCCTGGAATCCAAGGTAGACAAACAGGAGGCTGGAAGAACACAGCAAACCAGTCAGCATCTGGAGGAAAGGAGAAGTCAATGTTTCGGGTATTACCCTTCTTCAGGACTGGATGTCGTGGCAGGGAGATCTGCAGATTTAAAAAAAAAGGGGGGGGCGTCTGGGGGTAGCGGAATGGTGGTGATAGGTCGACACTGGTAGTAGGTACGACCTGGTTGATTGATGGGAGGGATGAATCCGGTTGGTAGCTGGAAGGGAGGGTCAGTAGGTGGAATGGAAGGGAGGAGGTGGGGCTGGAAAAGGAGCCAGGGAATGGGTGGGAAGGTTACTCGAAATTAGAGAACTCAATGTTGAGTGCTCCAGGCTGTAGGGTGTCCAGGCGGAAGATAAGCTGCTGTTCCTCAAATCTGCATTCTGAATCGCTGCGACACTGGAGGAGGCCAAGGACGGACATGTCACAGGGATCGGGTGTAGTGAAATGGGCAGAAATTGGGAGGTTAGGCTAGCCGTTACGGGCCAGGTGAAGATGCTTGGCGAAACGGTCACCTAGTCTATGTTTGGTCTCACTGACATAGAGAAGACCACATCGGTTGCACCGGATACAATAGACTAGGCTGGGGGAGATGCAGGAGAGGCTCTGTCTCACCTGTTTAGAGCCCTGGATGAAGGTCAGGGAGGTGATGTATGGGCAGATACTGAGCGGGTTGGAGTGGTTGGTGGGGAGTGTGGCATGAGCTAAGAAGCGGCGAAGGGAATGTCCTTGCGGAAAGCAGAGAGGAGTGGGGAGTGGAAGATGTTCCAGTTAGTGGGGTCTGATTGGAGTTCTAAGTGTTTGAGGATGATATGTTGGACGCAGAGGATGGTAGGGTGGAAAGTCAGGACAAGGGGGAACCTTTGTTCATTATGTTTGGAGGGAGGGGGTGGTTTAGACCTGTGGAGTGGGAAATGGAAGAGGCAATGGTGGAGGGCTGTCTGGATGACAGAGAGGGAAAAAGAGTGCTGTTTGGAAAAGCCAGACATCCGGGATGCTTGGGAGTGGAACATCTCCTTGTCAGGGCAGATTCAATGGAGACGGAGGAATTGGGAAAACCGGATGGAGTTTTTGCAGGATACAGGGTGGGAGGAGGTGTAGTCTAGGTAGAAATGGGAGTGTGTGGGATTATAGTGAATATCGGTCCATAAACTGTCATTATTAATGGAAACGGAGAGGTCAAGAAAGAGGAGGAATGTGTCGGAGAGAGACCAAGTGAATTTTACGAGGGGGATGCTGGTGGTGGTGGTGGAGAAGAAAGTGGAAGTTGTTAGCGAAGTTGATGACCTGCCCTAGTTCATCCTGGGTGCAGAATGCAACACTGATGCAGTCATCGAAATAACAGAAGAGTTGGGGAACAGTACCAGTGTACGTACTGAAGAGGAACTATTTGACATAACCAACAAAGAGGCAGGCGTAGCAGGCCCATGGAAGTGTCCATGGGTTTGGAGAATTGAAAGAAAAGTTAGAGGGTGAGGACTAGTTCGGCAAGGCGGAGAAGGGTATTAGTGGGGGGGTGGGGGTGCTGGATGGGTCTGTTGGGAGTGGAAAAAACTGAGGGCCTGTAGGCTGTCCTTGTGGGCTAAGGACCTGTATAGGGATTGCATATCTATAGTAAAGGTGAAGCGCTGGGGGGCAGGGAACCAGAAGTTTCCAAAGAGGTGGAGGGTGTGGTTTGTG